AGCAAGATACCTCACCTGAGGGAGCTGGATGTTCTATATTAGCTAATGTGTTGTGGCACTGGGTTTTCTGCACTAGGCAGTCTTACACTTAATTTAACAGTGCATGAAATGTAACACATTTCGAGCATATTAACACAAAGAACACGTTTTGTCAAAATGACATCAACCGCTTTGTCAGTGTCGAGATTTGGTCATTTTTGTAGCCGGATTAATTTTAATATCAAACAACAACACTTGATGTCAAAATCAAGTCGGGGCAGTCCACCAAGATGGCAAAATTTTTTCACTGGCATCACTTGATGTCATTTTTACAGAACAGCGTTTTCTTCATAATTCGCTTTACAGTTTTACATGGGTGTACACCAGCGGTGTAGGCGGGTGTAGGCTAAAGTGCATTTAAATGCGTAGTTTTTTTTAACGTACAAATCATTATTAGAAAGAGAAAAATACACAGAAATGGAGTTTCGTCACCTTACCTTACAAGGAGTAGTTTGAGCACTTCTAGTGATAAGGTCACGAAAATTCTGTGTCTTTCTAATAATCACTCGTTTACGCTCATATGTCCTCTTGCTAAAAACAATTTAGTTTGAGTAAGCACACCCTGGCGATCGGTCAGCCCTACCCGATCACTAACCGGGGCCTCGCTCTCCCTTCACTTTGACGGCACCAAAGGGTGGTTGCTGACCGCGTCGACATCGTACATGCTATCCACAGGCTTGCCCACCTTGTCATACTCGTTTTTATGGGCGAGCAGGCAGTTTACGAGGATTTTCGCATTCTCCAGGGCGGGCTTATCAGATGCCTCCACTGCGACAACAAAGATAAATCACATTTAATGTACATTTTTCCGGTGAAGTCGGATTGTTAAAAAGCTTACCTATTGGTTCACATTTGTCGGCCAGAGAAGCAGCAGCTTCGGCTATTTTGGGATCTTTCTTAGAGGCCTCGGGGAACATTTCGTTGCTCAAGTAATTTACCAGTGCGATTTTCGAGAATCTGTCCTCATCATCAAACTGAAAGCCAGATTTAGAGCCATGGAACCATTTTTGAAGTGCACAGTTGGTAAATAACGGAGACACTGATTATACTTACGATGCCGAAGCTCCGGAAGACGCACAAGGTCATTTTCTGAAACATAAAATGAAGATGAGAAAAATAATACGTATGAGATGAAAAATAAACCTTTAATGCACTCATGGTGTAACCTACCGCGGGAAACTCAGAGGATTCATCGAGAGTATCGTTCATAATAACATGCTCCAAGTCATCTAGAATTACAATTCAAAAACCGCCGTAGGTGAGGTACCCAATCAAAAGCTTGCTTATCGGTAAATGGCAAAAATAAAAGCACTCTTTGATCTCTGAATTCTGATAAGACCTACCTCTAGTTTTGTCGAAAAACGCCAAGCATCCGTCAACGGTTTCCGTTAACTTCCTAGAATAGCGTTTTTCTCCCTGCAATCGCATCAACGAAGTTTTATTTTGAAAACAAGAAATGTAGTAAATCTTTGTACATTTAGACGAAACAATTAAACCATCTGTGTGTGAACAAAATACATTTAAAGTTTACCTTGCCATGGACTCACCTTGGTGGAGCCTGCAAGAAGGACGACGAACGTGAGCGCGGACAGGACAAGGAGGCACTTCATGGCCGCAGGGTAAACTGTGCTGCTGGCCGACTCCTGGCGAACTGGGGCTGAACACGCGTCGCCGTCTGTTTTAAACTGCAGCGCCGGGCTGGCCGGGCGAGGACAAGCACTTCACATCGGGTACTCCGTCGCTCTACGGCAATTTGACATTATTATGTTTTTCTGAAAATATTTGCTGATGTTCAAGGGCGGAAAAGACCGATTAGCACTGTAAAATGCTTGCAATGGTTCCCGCCTGCGGATTTCCAGAAGAAGTAAGGAAATCAGGGCCGGAATCAGTACGAAAAAGTTCGCTGATTTGTCATAT